TATTCTGTCGAAACTGCCAGACGCGGATCGCGATTTCGATCTTTTTGGATCTCATCAGCGCGTCGCAGGCAGCTCCGACAGAACACAGACCAACTTTTACCTGCAGTCTTAACAGCGCGTTTTAGAAAATACCACAAATGACACCGTAAACGCCATCTGTAGTACGATATCCATATATTTAAATGGACCTTGTTGGAGCATACGTAATCCTAAAATGTAGCATCGTACTACAGATGGCGTTTACCGTGCCATTTGTGGTATTTTCTCAGTTATTTTTGTTGAATAGATATACCTTTCTAATTATTTTCGGTAAAATGTTTCTCCACATATAATAGCGTAACATTCATTTTAGTCCCCAGTCGAATTTATCTCAGTCCCTTGCATCACCATAACACTTCATATCTTCATGACATTATTCAACGTGATATTACATTCGAAATGTGGGTCACACATTGACGCTAATATGTTGTATGAAGTTCAGATATAGAGAAGCTAAACCTAAAGGTGTCGAGATTTACTGGTTTCCAATACATTTAGCAGATTGCTAATTGGACGCTGTACCTACCTTGGATACTTGAAACTGATTGAACACACACATATTCAATTAGCAGGGTTGTGTCACGTAATCTCATGCGAACCATAGCCTTTTTGACCTCGGAACTAATAAATTATTTGCATTACAGCTAATTTAAAATAAGTAGGTACCATTATTATTACCGAAAAACCCGTTAAAAATTTGTAGAAAATGGAAAAGATTTTTTTATAACAGTCTTGAAGGAAAATACAAAGTCGAGACGACTTAAGAAGAAGTCACTAGTCCTAGGACTGACGACCTTATGATGATGAGGTGAATGATGAGGATATCGAAGATAGCGATGGTTAGAAATGATGGGATATTAAAAAGAGTAGGAGAACAGAGGGCGCCGTGGAAGCTGATAAGAAATAGGCGAGATAGATTGGTAGGACATCTTCTTAGCCATAGTTTGAGACACATTGGAGGCAGGAAGGGTAGAGGTAGATCTAGATTAGATTACTGTTAGCAAATGGTTAAAGATGTGGTATTTTTCGGTTTTAAGGAAATGCGAAGATTAGCTCAGGATAGGAAAGAGTGGAGGTGCACCAAATATTTATGATAACGCAAAAATTACAATTTTTGATTGTAAATGACTGAATTTGCTGTAGAAATAGTAGAATTTATTAGTAACTTGTAATAATATCAATTTCGATACATTTCTTTAACAATTATTGCAAGTTTCTTAATTATTACAATTTAATTTGTAATATCAACTAAAATACGAAGTAACGAGCTGGTGGGATAAATTTTTAATACCGCTTTAATATTTAGTTAAATTTTCCTTTTTCATTTTCTCCGCGTATGATGATGAAGATTATGATATTGTACACATTTTCAGTATCTTGACTACCCGGCTGATAACGAAGCTGATTGTTAATTTTCGTCTTTTGATCAATTCATGGAGCAATGTCGATTAGAAAATCTTTAGATATTTTCCCCAACGGTACATGTTGTGTCAATGTTAACATCGGTTGCCATGGTCTACGATGTTGTTTATAAAATGATAATTTGTTTGTGAAAAGAACGGGCGACTGAACGTTGGAATACAGAAAGTCACTGAATTATACAAACATCGTAACCCTTTCGTTGTGCTGATGGCATGATCAGCATGAATTTAATATGGTCTGGTGCGCACAGTCTTGCTATCTATTATTTGCCGAGGCAAGGGCACTTCGGAAGTCCTGAATACACACACCGACGGCACGGCGGCGGGGAATCCGGTATGAAACGAAGGATTCAAGACCGGATTAAACCTGTCGCCGGAAAACCTTCAGGAGGAATAAGGTTATTGACTGCAGGGAATGGAAAAATCTCAATATAAAATTCGTTAACGACGATTTCTTGAACTTTAATATAGGGTTGTTCGGAAAGTCATTTCGTTTTTTTTGTGGAAATGAAAGACAGTTTTCGTATAATAAACAAATACTTTATTAAATTACATATTGACCGTTCTGGTCCAACAACTTTTGCCATCTTTCTGGTAGTAGCATGATTCCACGCTCATAAAATTTTTGGTCTTTGCTGGCAAAAAATTGATCGAGGAGGTTTTTGACCTCCTCATTTGAGGTGAAGGTTTTACCGTCTAAAAAATTTTGGAGTGACCGGAACAAATAATAATCCNTGGTGCTCCGCCGCACTATCACAGGGACGTACGAGCTTACCTGGATCAAAATTTGTCGGGCCAGTGGATAGGACGCAGGGGGCCAATCGAGTTTCCAGCACGCTCTCCAGACCTTACACCACTGGATTTCTTCTTGTGGGGCACAGTAAAAGATGAGGTGTACAAACGTAAACCACGTAACCTAGACATTCTTTGGAATGAGATTCAAGCAGTGTGTAGAGAAATCTCATTGGACGTTTTGATACGATGTACAGAATCTGTGGTGACTCGTACTCAGAATTGTATTGATGCTGTAGGTCACCAATTTGAACAGTATTAACATTTGTTATTTATGTTTCATTTACATTGGACTTTCAGCTTTCTATTTTCCTGAAATTTAACTTTGTAGAACGGTAAATAAATTTTCTATGGAAGTTCAAAGTGTGTATACATTTTTTTGAAGCACCCTGTATATTAAATTTTAATGACTGCAATACAATAAAACGTTTTGTTAGTTAGTTATTGATTGTGAGTTATTTATAATTTTTAATATACATTTACTTAATAATCTTTATAATAATAGAAAAATTTAAGCAAAACCAATGTCAAAACCAAGACCCACACTGGAAGTATTTGAGCAAGATCGAGATCAGTACCAAGACTGGGGCAGTTTTGGTCTTGATGTTGCTTCTCTCATCATAGTCATAGAAAAACCGCGTTTGAACAGAAATGAAAAGAAAACGATTTGCAATTATCATTTCTAACACTTAATTTATGGTAGATTTTGTGATATTTTGTTTCTTACTTGTGAGCAAACTAGTTCTGTCGTATGATTACAGGTGTTTCCCGCAGCAACCGCGGCTGCACAAGCTACAGTTCCCGGAACCTTGAGCTGTTCCTTGAAATCTGGTTGATATGGTAATAGCATTCGGATTTTCCCCCATCTGTTGAAAAATAACGCTATCGCGGCTACCCATACTACTAGCACCAATAAAACAATTCCTATTTCTACACCGCGGACCTGAAACAAAGGAGAAACACATGGAAATATTACAATGATAAAACACAAAAAGAAATATTGATAAACTTACTAAGAATCGCAATATTTATGTAACTGGAAGTAGAAAATAAAATTATGAATTGGTTAATGTGTTTTAAACCGACTATATTTTGTAATTATCGGTTTTTTTTGCTGATGAAATAGTCCAGAATTAACGACATACTTAACACAAAACGTACCGAGCNATTAATTGTACACGCACAAAGGATTAGGAACTGTAATTGCTTTCTGCTGATTCAATTTTCTTAAAAATAAGTCAAAGAAATGAGCTTTTGTGCGACCTTTTTCGCAAACAAGAAGGATCAAACTTTAATGTCGAAATGTAAAATTCATGGTATCTTCACAAATGTTACCAGCAATTATAAAAATTTTTATTGAAAATGTGGTGGAGGACAATTTAAAACGAAGGATGTAATTGAGGAGTAAATCACATTTTAGAGTGAATTGATGAATTTTCATCACTAAAATATACTCTTTCCCTATACATCCAGTAAGGAATCCTAATTGATATAGTTTTTTATAATTAAACCACATTTTGTAGTATAATAATATGTAGACAACCCAATATACACCAAATATTACAACCCTTAGATTGTAACGATAAAGACAGTTAAAAAACGTCTTTCTAACGAAAATAACTTACTCGAAACTCGATACAATCCTCGAAGTAACCACAAAATATTACGTAGAAATATTTAATTAAATACTAATATTTTTAAAGACATCTTCTTGTAAAATTTGGTTGAAAATCCATACACACTTTTACAACAATAAACTTCTAAAGCTTTGTATCGTTTTTGACGTAGCTAAATTATGATTTTCTATGAAATAATTATATATCAGTTTTTTTGCCCTATTCCTGGAAAACTGAAAGTCGAGTTTTTGCTTATTTACGTAGTTTGTTTGAAGTAGATATTTTGAAAGTTTACTTGATGTACTTTTTTGATACGTTATAGATAGATAGACAGTTTTATTAAAAAAATTATAGTTTATATATATAAGGTACATACATATTTACATTTTGGTACATTATATATATATATACTGCAATACAATAA